TGTGTGTGTGAATGAAAATTGACACAGTCATCAAAAACCAACGACATTTTTCGATAAATGTCATTTACTCAAATCGAAAATCAACATTTCAACATGCATTAGATTGAACAAAAAAAAAAAAGAAAAAGGTTCTACCAAGCAAGTGCGCGCGCATTTGCATCGTTCATTGTAAAGTTCTTTTGTTTTGAGAAACCATATAATGATTATTATTTTCGTTAAACGAATGTGAGGCAAGCGTAATTAAATCGTACATCCAAGTAGAATCAATCGTAGTGAATGCCGGTAAATTAATACACTTGCCGTTCGTTCGCTCATTTGTTCGCGCGAACTAAATAACTGAAGCGTACAAACCGAGAGAGAATGAAAAGAAAACGCCAAGCGCTACGAGAAATAGAATCCAATGCGCTGCATTTAAACTTAAAAAAAAAGAGGCAACAGTATAAACTAACAATGTTTTTGATCTTATGCTTTGCATAGCGGCAAACGCATCGAACGGCAGCTCCCACATTGTGCTACCATTTTTTTTTTTCTAGTTCGTTCATTCGTTTGTTTGTTCCAAAGATGACGATGTGTACATGGCATGTGTGTGCGCGCGCGCCATCGTCGTAGTAATTTGTACATAGAATGGTTGAAAAACATTAACATTTACTAAGTAGAATAATAAAGTAATATAGCATCGGCAGAATCAAGTTGATTCCGAAATGATTTTCATCCAGCTTAGTACCCAGTAAACGGGGCCGTAATGATATTGCACGACATAAACTTGATGAGCGTGCTCGTTCGTTCGTTCGCTCGCTGGCGCGTTGCACATGCACAGACACACTCACATAAACACAAATACACACATTGAAAAATTATATGAATCAAAGTAATTTCTTATTCGCATTTTAATGCTGTGAGCGCGAAGCAAGTGTACACTTAATCATTGCTTTGAGTCGCCATTAAAGCGGTCTTTGAATGGTTCACATCATGGAAATAGTCTATGTCTTGTATGTGTATGTGTGCTTGTTTGTTTTGTTTCAATTGTGGTTATATCTTGATTTCTTTGCTCGCTTGACCTTTTTTCAACAATTAAAACCGATGCATTGAACCTCGGGCAAGAGAATGCGAACACTTTGTCATATGCGAACTTTATCGATGTTTTGTCGTAATCAAGGCCGATATAAAGCTGTGTGTGTGTGTGTGTGTGAGTGTGTTGCAATTCGGATATTTACTTATTATCACTTATCATCATCAACAGCAAAAGAAACAACATCATATTGGTCGTCATGCTGTGCAAAGAATGTATACGGTATTTAACATCCATATTAGGGCAACAACCGAGAGAGCGCGAAGCATCGCAAATCAATTTCAACATTTTTATGTTGTGTTTGAAAACCAGTGTGTGTTTCTACTCGCCATCATACATTATTCACATAATGTGCTGAAAACAAGAATTGGCATGTGGCGCACTGCAAGCCATTTCCATTCTGTTTGGTTAATTTAAAAGACTTATTGCATCTCTTGAGAGATATGCTGAATCCAACACCATATTTGGTTTGGTTGGACGCGTGTTCAAGAAAATGATTGATGGAAAATTATTCAATTATTGTTGTCAAATCATACAAACACACAGATAGACTAAGAAAAAGGAATCCATCTCAAATCAAATAATAAAGTGAATGAAACCACACTAATACTTTGCACACATTTACAATTGCATACACAAGAGTGAAGAATGGAAATCAAGATCGTATTTTGAACGCTGGTTTTTACACACATTCACAACATCTGTTCTGCCTACAACTTTGATTCGAAGATTGAAGTTTATTATTCGGTTTTTTTTATTACGTTTTAATGTGTGTTCATTGCATTCATTAAGCACATAATACATATGTTTCAACGAGATGATTATTTATCGTTTTTTTAGTTTTGTTTGTAAAATTCTTTAACTGAATTTTGCAATTCACCCTTTGATACAGTAACGACAATTTTTCTTTTTCTCGCTCTTTCCTTCTATCCCTCGAGTATTGTGAATGCATTTCACTATCATCATCGCATATATATATAAATTCATTGAAAAAAAAGTACTTTAAAACCATAGCTATAGCATGTCGACTGGTGATTCGAATTCACAAGCCAATTTGATTTTAGTATAAGTTCAAGGACAATTTAATTACTCTTCGTATGTATATCTGTAGTTATTTTCAGTTGATTGCGTTCGTCACGAATGCCAAGGGTTCACGATCTCTTCGCTACCGACGTCTTTTTCCGTGTGAGTAAACGTTTTATTTCACATTTTATGACAGTTTTTTGTACGGTGCTCAATGATGATTGAAATCAACAGTAAAAATTATTTTAATCATCGCAAATTCTTCGGCAAAGTTATTTTATATATGCTACTTAAAGTTGTCAGTAAAGTTTGTCCAAACAAGATATACAAAAAAATGTTTCAAACAAAGACATCTTGATTTGCATTCGACTTTTCGACCAAATCGATCAAATTCGAATGAAAAATGCATAACATGAAATTAAATGTTTAAATCGCTTTAAATAAATCAATTCAGTTGATTACAGAAAATAAATTGTATGCAAACAACTTGAAATTAGGACGATCGATTTGTGTTTTAAAATTAAATACAAAATCGTACCAGGCAGCTACAAATTCCATTAGGAAATATGTTATTGGGACTGCAAAAATATAAATAAATTGATGAAACATCGTGTTTTCACTACAAAATCGAATCCGAAATTAGAACTCACGAAATCACTTGGTATCGAATTAAAAATTGCATGCAAGCGACACACATGCTGCGATGCACGTCAATTGAATGTGTTGCAAAAACAAAAATCGTTGCTACACATTGCAATTCGTTTAATTATAGTCAACTGAATTTGTCGCATTTTATTGATGAAATTGAATGTGGAACGCAACCCATAACCAGGAGAAACAAGAGGAAGTGTATCACACTTTCAATCATTGGCCCATTTTTCGCCCAAAACAATGAAAAAAATGTGAACGTTTAAATGTGCCGTATTTTCGCGGCTTCCGTTAACGTGATTTCATGAATGGAACTTTAAGCATGAAACATTTTTTTTCTTTGATAAAAATGCATATCGTCTTCGGGCGTCGTCTGAATCCAGTGTGTGAATGAACAAATATTGTTCTTTATTTTGCTCTCTTACATTGTCGGGCTAGAGTGACGTGCACGAAAAATCATGTTATTGCTGCTCCTTTGCTTGTAACACATTTTTTTTTTGTGAATGAAAAGCCGTGGAGCCCTTAAGCACAACGTGACCATAGTGAACCAAATTTTCGGTCGTTGTGATCATTTTTCGCTCTCATATTCCCCTTCGATCATCATCCTTTGTGTGTTTACGGCATTTTTGACAGTCGGAAAACATTTATCAATCGAATACTAAAACATTTCAAATTTGCCACATGCTACTAACCAATTAACCAAAATAACTAAGAGAATCGACAAACAGGGAGACATTTTTTATGACGTGGAAGAGAAGTTACACCGCACCAATGACAATCAATCAATCACATCGAATTTGAACATTCCACGGTGAGCTAATTGTCATCGTTGTTTGTGACTGTCTGTGCGGCAAATTGAACATTTTTTTCTTTTGGTGGATGCGATGATTCATTTGTGTTCATTGAAATGGAAGTTGGCACGTTTCATTGCAAGAAATTTGCATAAAAACTTATTTCGAAACAAATTGAGCCGGCCGATAGTCGCCAGTCGAGGGTCAATATGACGATTTCTTTTATTTTACACTCAATGCACATTTATGAGTGGACAACAAAAAGGATGACTTCTTTTATATTTGTTGAAGTGCGTTTCCTTTGTGGCACTGCCTCAAAAAGTGTATGTCTCTTGAACCTCAACACATACGCCATTCACTGAAGCTATTGAAGTATTTTAACGAAAAAAAGAAAACAAATGTATAAAATTTTGTCACAAGAGCTAAATTGTGATGCACAACACGTGCAGCCATAATAAGAATTCGTTTTTAATGATTAGTACTAGAGTTGCAAATAACGAGGGTCAGTGTAATTTACAAATTGGCGTCATACATGCACATTTAATTTTGTTTCTCTTCTCAATTGTGGCTTTGAAAGTGATCGCAGTGCAAAAGATCAATGTTTAACAATGTTGCTGCCGCGCCATTATAGGCGCGGTTCTAATTTAATAATAAACAACAGCCATTCTCTTTGAGAAGACACAAAGACTCTGTAATAATTTTGTAAATAGTAATTTGAAAAATTTACATATTCGATTGACTACTGAATGTTGAGCATCGAAATTATTATGAATCTACCATTTTTTGACTGCATAATTATAGTCAGACAGAAAGAAATAATATGAGCTATTCTTAAAAGCCGACAACAACAACAAAAATCGAAGCGTGCATTTAATTTTCGGTTCTTTGAACCATTCAATCGATGCACGGACAAAGATATGTGATGAAGGCGATGTTGGAAAAAAGATGTTGCAGCAGATGTGCGTGTTGAATCGAACGATGCACACGTGCGTGATTTGCAAGTGAAAATATTTAGAACGATTTCGTGTGGGTTTTTAGCATTCCGGTTTTCTATGATTATGATGCACCAAATAATGGTTGAATTTTGTTTGCGTTTGCTTCTCTTTTTTTATAAGAAGAGCATAACATACTTTGTCTTCAAATCCGAGATGCATGGGTACGACCATTGACATTTGTCGCGTATTGGCATCAGGTGCGCCAATATTTACTATATTTTTTCCATCCGCTGCACTGCGGTCACTCAATATACGCTTTACACACAACCATCAACCGCAACATGTCTAGCATTTGCGGTTGACAATCGAAAAACGTGCAGCAACTAATGTACAAATTTCTATAGTTCTTTCAATATATTTCTTATCAAAAAGAAGAGTCGTCTGCTATTGTTGACATTTGAATTGAAACCGATAGATTTTTGAATGTAAAAAGATCAAATAAAAACGTGAAAAAAAGTATGACATTTAACTTACCTGATACACCGGCTAATGTGAATAATACAAATATTGGTATAAAAATTGCTATTTTATGAAGCCGCGTGCCCATATGTCGTCGTCGGCCTGTAATGAAACAAAACGAAAACATACCGATTAAACATTGTCATTGACTCATTATTTTGTATTCAATAAGGGACAACAACGAGTGTTAAAACTACCTCCCAAATTTGCGGCCATTCAAACAATCACATTTCATATGATCGTCGAATCATATTATTTGAATGAATAACCAAAATTATGGAATATATTAACAGGAGCTTAATAAAATGGTAATCTAGTGTCATTTTTTTCGGGTAGTTGTTGGCATGAAGCATGTGTTAAACAAGCATCTCGACACAACAACAACTCGAACATACCGAAGCCAAAGTAAATAAATTTCAATTTTCAAACTTGTACACATTTCTTAACATATACTGAACTGTGCTTCCCCAAAGACTGTAGTGTCATTGCTATTAATCTCTTATACATACTGAAAAAAATATAGGCGCGCGCGAGCCGTTTAAAACCAAAGTGGCAACCGATGTGATACTCATTTTTTCTCTTATGTTCGTTTAGACGAATCATTTTAATATGCACGACAGCATACGTACACCCAACGCTTTTTCCGTTCAAGCGCAGTCAATACGCTTGAAAGAAAAAAAAATCGTTTACCAAATAATTATTCGGATTATTACCATTTTTTTTCTATATTTGAATTTCATTTATTCAAGGCGCATTTCTCACACTCACACTCATTTCAGTGTGGCGTGGTGTTTGTTTTTTTTTTTTTCGTCATAGTTTCCTGATTACGGAGAATTTCGGGGGATTCAATTTCACATTCTCTTTTCATTACTATATCATCCGTAGTATATGATCCACGACCGAAATTTATTGTCTGATGTGGGAATGTTTCTCATCTTCAATTTCATTATGAGAAGAATTTCTGGAATTTCATTAAAATGAATAAAACCATAAAAGTGCATTTGTGTAAATTAAAATCGAATGATGAATGCGTTTTAACGGTGAAATTGTTGAACTACAATAAAATTGTGCTAAGATGGTTTGTCAATTGCCACGCGAATTTCTGCATATGTTAGTGACGAATTTCTTCTTCAGCATGAGCTCATTTCTTAAATATTCAGTATTTATGACTTTGTTGAATGTGGCCCATTCTTGTTATGACTGAAGAAGGGTGTTTGTTCTCTTTTATGTTTTGCGCCGTCATCAATAACAAACAGAAGTCTTTACGAAACATTTACAAACAAGAAGTGATTTGAAGTACCAATTATATATGAACCACTTTAAATTAATTTCTGTCAACCCCATCGATTCACAGTCATAGCGCAATTTGTATGCATGTACTACTCAATTTTATGATACCCTTAATATTGGTGAGTGCAAACAATATGCAGATGGTTGTTTGTAATAAATTTGGTGAATAAGTGTTTTAACCTTTCCAATGGATATGCGTCATTAAGACACTCGCCTGCGATACATTTTACACAATGTACTCGTGGTGTACACCAATTTGACAAAAATGACTTTTTATGCTGTCAATCAATTTTCGACGAACCCCTGGCTGCAACGAGAATTTGTCAAAATAGAATTCAAGTGTTTCCCAATATTTTGTGTCTATGGATTTTACTTCGCATTTGTATATGTCGTATTAGAAAACAATTATTTCAATATCCAAATAGAAATCCATTTTGGTTATTCAATTCAATTGGTTGTTCGATTCATATCGCATATGTGTATTGGAATATTAAGTCGGAATTCGTCGATGTATTTTTGGTACTGGGCACAAAGAAAATGAAATCCGACATATCAAAAAAAGGAAGAGAAATGAAATGAAAAGTGAATAGATTTCGATATACATATAAATTTTGTCGGTCGACAAGAGAGAGAAATGTATACTCAATAAAAAGAACGAGCGGAACAAGGAACTAAATGTTTTGTTTGGAACAAATACAGGACCAAATCAAATGAAACGAAGAAGAAATGGCAGACAACAAGAAAATGCGTGACCGATAGCAGCATATGTGTTACGGGACGTGTTGGTAATGTTTGCCTATGTGGTGCTGTTCCGTTGAATTTTGATTATAGATCTTTTGGGAATGATTTTTCGACGTTCATCCTCTTTTTTTTTGTTTATGTATGTATTTTTATTTTCTATGATGATTTCTTGGCCGAAATCGCTACCCGGCTGCCGTTTCATTTCCCTTTCATTTTTGGACTTATCTCATTATTACCTCGGATTAATGTGCGATGAACTAAAGGCACATATGCGCCTATTATAACCACAAATATTAGTAGATATCGAACTAATGGCTGTATACAATGACTCTCACAGGTCGGACAGAAAAAAATGCAAAGATTAAATTTTATAAGACACATTCACACGACCAAGAAGGAATCGCTCCCCCCAAAAAATCGCGACGTCGACAAATCGAAAGTAAAACCAAGTTCGCATAATCATTTACAAAAAAATAATCATATTTTGTTTGTAAGTAATCCGTTGTTGTGTATTCACGAAATGTATGTAGAGGCGCGCGCGACAGATGCGATTTTGTCGACACAGACACACAACCAATTTCTTCTTCTTCTCGTCTTAACCACGATGAACATTGAAAAATCATATGCATTCAGTATATGTGTGTGTTTTTTCCTCCTTTTAACTTGGTATTCCATTCGTCAATCATCTTCTTAGAAAATGTTCAATGCATTCGTGTTGAATTTTTGTCGCCGCTTAGGGAACTGGCGCTCTTCCATCTCCGCACAGCATGACAGATCAGTATTCAAACCGACAAAACGGACTTTATTTCTTCTTTATTTTAGAGTCTTAAACAAGTTATCATATTTATTTTCAAATAAAACACCAAATATTTGCCAGCGATTAAGCCAAAAATCGCACAGCATGAAAAGTGTTTTAAGACGTTGCCAAAAAAAGAGCCGAAGAAGAACAAAAAATTGGGGTTCCTCGAAATAAGTATTCGACTGGTTTCAAGATTTGTTGCTTTCCGTTCGGAAATCGGTCGGTTATTCAATAGTTCATGACCTCACATGACTTATTTTTTTTCTACCGAAATTCAGCTGTGTGAGAACGATCCAAATGAAATGCCACTGCAGACATCCACAGCCGTGTATGCAGATGATGAATCAACGAAATGCAGAGGAATAATGAATATTATCAATGTACTAAAAATAAGCAAAATAACGGGGCTGGTTTTCAAATTGAATTTTCGTCGAAAACGCAAACTTGAACGTTGCGCGCAAAGAGATGTGTTTTTTTCTTCTTTCATTCGTAAACCACATCAAATTAAAATAAACGTAACGATTTTTACACTTTGTATTTTGCGCCGGCATAAACCGCAAAACTGTTTCAAATTTGACACTATTAGTTGTGTGCGGAACGTTTTCATTACATGAGCTTCTTCATCATTTTGTATTGTGGATATACATTGTGGAGAGAAGGTTTTCGGCAAACGATTTTCAACTGAAAATGATGTGCTCATTTTTATTTCAATGGAACTGATTGTCCGTGGTTTTGTTAAAAGTATCCTTCTGTGAGGCGAGGTGTGCATGTGAATTTTCTGTATTGAAATGCTTTTTTAAAGTACAATGAGTAAATATGTTCATTAAAATGTTTCGAATGTTTTTTTCGCTCTTTTCGATGACGGTCATAAGTTAAATAGTTATAGCTTGTAACTAAAGATGTGAAGCCATTTTCATATACACACATAATTTCACCCGAAGCAAATAGTTTCAACCTTCCAATGACAGTATGTATCTGTGATACACGGAATAAGGGCCGGAAGTATTTGACATTTATTTTTAGAAAATTAGAGTTCAAATATGCATTATTGACTGTTAATATTGGATAAGTATTTGGTTCGGCTCATTTTCCTTTCCGTTCATCCATACACACACACACACCGGCTGATGATCGACTGACGTAAAAACACACATTTTTTTATTTTTTCATGATGTTTTTTCAATAAATATAGGATGTTTCTATGTTCACGAATGTTAATGGGCGCAAAAGGTACATTCATAAATGTGTGTACATAGGATACTTTTCTCTCTTTCTCTCTATTTTTTCTTTTTTGAACGCTACCGTTGAAAATCTATACACTCATAATGTGCATGGAATTTGATACTTTATATCGTGTTGTCTAATAACCGAATGTTGAATGGAGAATAAGAACGTGCTACTCTGAATTCCATTCGGAAGCTACCAAATGTGTGTGTGTGCATTTTTTGGGAAATTTTGGCTTGAAGATCATGGATGATCAGGATGATGGGTGCTGTATAAGTAAGGGTCAAACAATTACAATTGACCGATTTCATGGTAGTGTGCTTTGTTTGGCCCGCAAATGGATTAGACACAAAGCCGACTAAATGGCCAAAGACATTCAGAGATAGAGAACGAATCGCAGCAAAAACTGCATTACGATGTAATGCAAGAAGTATTAAATGGTAAATACACTCGCACACGGATACACAATGCAGAATGGCGTCGTAGTGTGAGAGCGCTAGCGACAACGAGAGATGGAAAAAGAAAGACGATCAAAGCTAAGGCACAACAAAAACCTACTCAACATAAATGCAACGAAGAAATAATTCAGTTATGTGCGGTGCACATAAATTTTATCCAATTCTTGTACCACCTGCTCATCTGTTATGTCTCTTCTAACTAAGTGTATTCTCAATATATATAAAATGCGTTCGTTGCATTCGACAAAAATTCCAATCGCATCGTCGTTTACCGATACCATGCTGGACTCTTGCTCGCTCCATTGTACATTACACACATATATATTAATACACACATTTTCCATTCTCGATACATTTACAAATTACACACGATGACTCTTTCTAGCCGATCTGACGGTGTATACCTCTTCTTCTTAGGCTGGTATTTCTGTAGTTTTCACTCTTTCTCTATCTCGTTCTCTATCTGTCTTCTCGTATGTACGCGCATTTTCGTCATCATTATCGTGTCGTCTTTTTTAGTTATTTCATATTCAGAGACACTGTAGCCGCACGGGAATCCAATTCGAATGGTGATTTTATGCTCAAAGTGA